TGATAATGATTTGCTTATGTGTTTGGTGGTGGAAATATATGTTTGATACTTCATTAAGACATAAATTGTGTTATATGATATGAACTGTCTTTGAGTGAGCATTTATGTGCATGGTGGCTTTTCATGGGAAAGTTTAATGAAAATAAATTGAAATGATTGAATGATGGATTGAGAACCCTTATAAATTGTATTGTGGGAAGTTTTCTGATTGTAATAGGTATTTGAAAAATTTTGGGAAGTCCATATTACATGAGAAACTTTGTCAAAATTTTGAAAAATATTTAGACTTAGAAAATTTTTAATCATTCTCAAACAAATTTAGTAATTTGGGAATATGGGACTTTTCTAAGAAAAACCACTTAGGAACTCATACATTAGTCATCCAAAAATGGTATTTTGTGCAAAATAGGGAATCAGAGACTATGGACTCTGGGAATACGATAGGGAGGCCCTGAGGGAGGACTTGGGAATAGGAAGGGTAGTGGTTGGAAGCCCTAAAAGACTTAGGCTCGCTATCTGTTGTCGGGGATCCCACTGTACAAACTCTCTTGTACTTGACTATACTCTTGCCGTATATTATGGTCAGTGAGCTACTAGGTTCATATTTGAGCATGAGTTTTAACAATCCCATGGGTAGATTTTCATACCTAGTAGTGTCAACTCCTGGCTACCCCAACACTGATTTAAGAAATGATTTGGGCCCGCATGCATGGACATTTTAGAAAAACAAACTAGGATCATGCACCATCATCATCATTCATTTGAAATGCAATTGATCTGTGAATATTTATGATGTTTGATTTTAACATGATGTATGAACTATGGCTCACCTTATTATTTTTCTATTTTATTTATTTTCTCTGAACCTGCGGTAGTCATTGGACCTGATCGGTTACCACTTGTAGTAGAGGGAGATGGCACAAATTCCACATCAAATGAATATAACGATCAGGCTCATTAGCCCAGAGCCAAATCGATGGCAGCACGATTGAGATAGACATACCCATACTTTTGTGGGCAAACTTACTATATTTTTTAGGAGAGCGGCACTAGGACCCAGAGGTGGTGTCCCTATTACCATAAGGACTAGAGTAACCTTTGACTTAGATAAAAATAATAATCCTTTTCAGCCCATACCACAACTAATTCCCTCTCCAGTTGAGGAAGAGGAAATGAATATTGATATTCCAGAGGATTATGATTTTTTAAACACTGATGAGTCTAGCGACTCAAAGATGGACTCAGATGAGGGAGATTCATCTCTTAAGTCTGAAGATATAGATTCAGAGTAGGACTGATACTACTTTGTATTTTTTTTTTTTTGATATAGTGGCAAAGGTTAGTTATAGACATTCTTTTGTTGTACATAAGCCTTTATGGTACCGAGTAGAAGCCACTCTTTTTGTTTAGTTGTGCTACTTTGTAGGAAGTCATTTCCAGTATTGCTCTTATTATTTTGAAGAACTATAACTAATATTTTATCTGTATGTAATTATGTTGCTAGGTGAAATGGTAATTGAGTTCTCCAGTATACAGTATTGTGTAATACAGGGAACTTATTGACCATTTTGCCCTTTGTATTATTGTAAAAGGATATCTAAATACTTATGAAAGTTTACCTTAAGTACTTTATGCAACGATGAAATTCTGAAATGTATTATTGAAAATTTGCATGTTAAAGTTTATTTTTGTGATTAATGGTTTAATACATCGACATTATGTATGAGGGGAAGATTATTAGTATAAAAAAAAATTTCTGCTAAAAAAAATTACTAATTCTCTAATTGAGAGTTTATAAAGTAGGATGTTGTAACACCTTAAATTTAATTTTCAATAAATAAGAAATTTCACAAATTTTTAAAATAATAAAATTTTTATTTTAATTCAAGTTTCATCAACCATTTCAAATAAAGAAAAGGGTTACAAATTATATCAAATAGTGGCTACATGACTTATTCTAATACAACAAATTTTCAAAATAATGTCCTAAGTTCTATAACAATTCCATCCACTCCTGAGCCTAGTGCTAATCGTCTTGATTACTTAAAAAATGAATGTAAGGGTGAATACTCTACAATACCCAAAACACATAGTCAACATAGAGTTTCACCTTCAGAACCTTCCCAATACATTCAACAAACACAATCATAGGCAGCAATTCACATCCATAAGTCCAAAACACAAATCCATACATACGCATACCAGTCACACTCACTATAGTACTGTGATAACAGATTTACACTATGAATGGCCGCCGGTTACTCCCGCCTCACGGATACCACGTGGGCAGTCACAGGTCGCTCAGTAAAGATAGCGGTCAGAGGTCTAGTCAGGAAGAGAGTGTGTGGCCCGTGGTGCATTCGTTCCACAGTCAGTGTCACCACCACTCTTCCTTCCCCAAGGTATTTTTACTGTTCTCATCTTCTACATCCCCAGTGTATCATTGAACCATTCACAGCGACAGCGCTAACACGCCCATTTACACATATTCCATTTACGCATGCAATAATCATGCTTACACATGACACACAACCCACATTACATTCAAATACATGGCACTAGGCCCACATCCATTTCACAATATACGGCGCATAGCCTTTATTTATTCATAACAACATTAATTCACCAATCAAAGGCATTTCATCACACACAATCACCCACACGAGGTCTAACTATTCCAGCACACATCACATTGCACACTAATTTCCATCAAACACACAATTTCTACTCTCTATTTCAACCACATTGCATGATTCATTGAAATACACAGAAATTACAATACATTGAGATAGGGTAGAGTCTTCCCTTACTTCGGATTGAAGACCCACACTCGGATTTGACCACGGACATGCTCCCTACACAGATTTCGGCCTAAAACACACGGAAGAACTCCATGAGAACTCCAAGAAACTGAGAAACAGAGAAATAAGGATGAGAAACGGAACCCTAACAATTAAAACTCACCTCCAAGCGTTCCCCACACAGATTCAACCTTCAATTAAGCTCCCGAACGGCTTTGGAGATAATTAATCAGTAGAATAGGGCTTTGGGAAGAGAGGATCAAAGGAATTTCGAAGGGAGAGGGAGAAATAACTCTCCCTGAACCCTAACCCCTTTTAAATCCCTTTCCGGTTGCGAAACTCTCGCTGCAGCAAGATTTTCTCGTTGCAGCAACACGCCCTCTCGCTACAGCGAAAAAACCAGAAAAAACTGCACTCTGGTTTTTGTAGAATCTTGCTACAACGAGACTGCACCCAAAAATGCACCCCAAATTGTCATTCTATCGCTAAAGCGAAAAGGCGACAGTTTTGGTCCTTCCTCCCAGGGCCCTTTCGCTACAGCGAGAACAACCAGTGTTACGCCCTACATTTAGGCACTTAGCCCATTTTCAGCCTATCCAGTCATACATACACATATATACACACATCCATGTACTTAATACACATAAAACATCATTTTCAAATAAACCAACACACACACACACACACACATATATATATATATATATAAGAATAATAATAATTAATATTACCAAAATTCGAGGCGTTACAGGTGTTACAATTTCAACTTGATTGTCTAAATCATCAATATCTGTTTTTATATTTCCACATCTTAAAAATATACTCTAAATATAAAGAAAACATCTAAAGGTGTATCCTCCAAGAAAAAATAACTTTTCTATGTATGAATAAAAAAGGAATTGAAATTAAAGTCATACGTTATAAAGTTATTTGCAATGCTAGTTGGTAGTCAATGAAAAGGTGATAATGAACCAACGGAGGTTGGTCTAAGTGGTAAGTAGCTTAGTATCGTTTAAACAAAGTCTCAGGTTGAACACCTTGCGAATGTTAAGAAAAAAATTCAGTAGTAGATTCACCCATCACATCTAGGTGCGTGATCTTAGTCAGATTTATATTAAACTAGATGGAAAAAAAAAGGTGATAATGAAATATATTTGGATACATCAATTTATTTGCATTAATATTGATACAATATTCGATACAACACATTTTTGTCACCACCTATGAGCAAATTTTTGTTTGTAAAAAACAAAGTATTTTAATTTACCACTTGCTTTTGTCCCCGAGCTTTTATTTGTTAGAGACAGAGTGTTCTAATTTTTCATGCAACTTGTGGAATTCATATCCCAACTTAAATAATGAACTAAAAAAATTTTGATTCACAAAAACAAACAATTGCTTACAGGTAGTGGCAAAATGCAAATAAGGATTAAAAATAAAAATACGGATAAATATAAGAATCACTTTGATATTTAAGAAGAGGAACCAAATTAAAAATTTTGGAAAATTTATGAATATAAAATTTTAAAATTTTTTATATGGAATAAAAACAAAAATACAAATAAATGTAGGAGTTACTTAGCCTTAAAAATCTTTATATATATATATATATATATATATATATACTTAATTATATTTTTAGCCTTTATAAATATAATATTTTTTAAAATTAACCTTTAAAAGTAATTATTAAAATTTAATTTCTAATATTTTCAAAATATTTAAAATTAGTCCCTATTATTAATAATCTTGTATTAAGTAATGATTAGATTATAAACTTCAGTTTATCACAACTATATTACTCTTATTTTTAATATTTTACTATTTAAATATTAATATTTATAAAAAATTTCTTAAAATATTTTCTTTTACAATTTCTTTTTTTCTATAAAACCCTTTCATGAACTATTTGATTTCACGTTTTTTTAATTCTTAAAATTAATATTTTTATAATTTTTAATAAAGTTTTGTTAATAATGTGTTAAAAAGAATATATTAATGAGTGTCTTCTAAGCTTTATTGTTAATAATAAATATTTTATTTTTTAATAAAGATATTTTTTATATGTCTAAAACAAAAATTATAAAATAATATACTTTTTAATAAAAAAGTATTATTTTTAAAATTTATATCAAATCGAAAAAATATTAAAAACATCTTTTTGTTGTTTTTGTTCTCAGGTAATCCGTGCAAATTGCTGGATTAAGTTAGTTCTACAGTGCATAGTCGTGGATGAAAATGAGTCGGGTTCTGCATGTTCGCAATCCTCTGCTCGCTCTCTCTGCTTCGAACGCTAAACTACCAGTGTCGTCCTTTTTCCAAGCCTATTCATACACTCGGAAACGGTAATTTCTCCTAAATCTATTGTTGCCTCATTCACTCTAGGTGAAAAAATCCTCCATTTTCGGATGATTCATAAAATGTCTCACTATTTTTGGAAGACCCACAAAATGATGTGTTCTTACCCCCTCCACGATTCTAACCCTTCATTCTGTTACTCTTAGAATGAGTTGTGATATGCGTAAGGATCAAACTGGAGTCTTTTCATTTGCAACATTTTGCACTACAAACAAAGGTGCGTTACCTACATTTTTCTGTGTGTTATTGTGTTTGATTTTTGTCTATTCATTTTAGAAGCTACCCTAGTTTGATAACACGTGTTCATGGTATCAATTTGATTTTTTTTATTTTATATACTTTAGATCTGTCAAATAAGAAGTGTGTGCCATGCAATACAAAGGATTTGCGACCCATGGCTGAGGACGCAGCATGCGCTCTGATTCCAGAGGTTTTTTTTGTCTATAAAATATTCAACTTGTGACAATTTAAGTGTCAATATCTTTGTTACTCATCTTTCAGGATTGGAGTTTGGTGAAAGAGGATGGTGCATTGAAGCTGAGGAGATCATGGAAAGTAAAGACTTTTACCAAAGGATTGGAATTTTTCAGGATAATAGCTGATCTTGCTGAAGCTGAAGGTATGATTACATTCTCTGCTTCGGCACCAAGTGTCTATTGATGTTATTGGAAAACTAGAAAGTGTAACGATGATGTGTATAATGTAGGTCATCATCCTGATCTTCACCTTGTTGGTTGGAATAATGTTACAATTGAGATTTGGACTCATTCAGTAGGTATGAATATGAATTACTCATTATTGAAATTATTTACTCAAAGTTGGTTTCAGAATTATAAAAATATCCAAAGATCATGACCTAGTCTGGGTAAATTTCTAGATATGTCCTAATAGGAGAAGAAAATTAATATGGAGAACAAATACAACTTATCTCATAAATTAAAAGCAGCTTATACTCCTTAAATTTTAGAGAAGTTATATGGGAGAGCTTCTAAAAAAAAAATAGAGAAGCACAAGTTGATTTTAACTTATGGGAGGAGTTTGATTCATTTAACTACTTACTTTTTTACTCTTACAAGTACTTATTTATAAGTTTATCCAAATTGGGCCCATGTTTAGTCATCATTGGCCTGTCATGAAAAGCTCGGTATTTTAAAAAAACTGTGCTATGCTCTGTTCATTCTTTTGGTTTTATAGCAGCCAAGAGTTACACTTTCTTTTTCATCTATTTCATCTCTACGTCCACTACACTCTTCTTGTCTTTTTTGACAACACTATCATCACAGCTTCATTCCAAATTTGCATTAAAAGACCTTGAACCTCTGCACTATTTCGTAGGTATTGAGGTAATACCTACATCTACTAGTGGTCTACTACTACCTCAGGTCAAATACATTCATGAATTGCTTCTAACTCCCTGCCTACCCCAATGATTGCCAATCTAAAGCTATTAGCTTAGGGCACAACTTTAGTTCCTGATCCTTCTCTTCACAGATCTACTGGTGGTGCTCTACAATATGACATCTTCAGTTCCTGATTTATCCTTCTTTGTTAATAAAGAATGCCAATTCCTGCATGCTCCTGAAGGTTATGGTCTTCCTCTTCACAAATCCATGACCTACAGCTTGAAGCGTTCTGTGATTCTTAATGGGGTTCCAATCCTATTGATCAGAAATCCACTACAGGCTCTACTATGTTTTGTTTGGCTCAAATCTAGTATCCTAGTCATTTAAGAAGCAATCTATTGTTTCTCACAGCAACACTGAGGCTGAATATAGAGGACTGCTGTAACTGCTGACCTATTGTGGATTGAACTCAGAACTATGATAGAGATAGACCTTGAAAATATTATGTGGCAAGGCATAAGAAGCTAATCAACTCACAGGGGCTCAGATTATTTGTGTTTATGTAGTAATTGTGTCCTTAAGCAGTTATTTAGGTAGCCTTGTGATTAGCTAGAACATGTCATATGAGTTCCTTTCCTTACTATTAGGCCTTTTTTTGGCAATTGCGATATTTTTATTGAAAAGCCTCTGTACAAAGGAAATATATATAAAAGTAATACTCCAGTAATAACTAGGCCTGTTGATTTTGAACTGGATTGCTAAATCTAATCCACATTAAAATTACCAGATTTTTAGAACTGGATTGCTACTACATTGGCCCAAGAAGGATGGATCTGATTTTTATTTTTGTTTTGTTTTCAAGTTGATGGATGTCTGTGAATCTTGTCCAAGGAGAATGGTTAAATCAACATCCAATTCTATGTTATGCCTGTGTGTCATGGAATGGTAGCGTATCAGTGGCAGTGCAGAAAAGTGAGGGAGTTTTCATTGGGACTGTAAAAGCCTTTGTTTGCAGCAGTGCCTTACAAGAAATCCCGCCCCACTCTTTTTGGGTAACCAAAGTTTGTATTTTTCTTTCTATGTGTGCAATTTATTGTGTCTTCTAATAAAACTGTTTTTGATCCAAAAATGTTTAAAATCCAGTTTTGAATTGGTTTTGAGAAAAATAAAAATAAAAATGGTGAACTGGTTCAAAATCCAATCTATATAATTGGTTTCTTAGTAGATCACGTTTGGTTTTATGATATTCTTGTCTATGCACAGCCCTAGTAATAATCAATAAATAAATAATGATATGATAAAATAAGATGGAATATTAGGTAATGTTATAAAGTGATATGTGTGCAACTTGCTATAAATTCATGTATATACCAGGTTGCAAAACAGAAGAATGCTTAGGGGTGGTGTTGATGGGGGTAGAAATGTGAGTTTGGGTATTCTCTGTTAATTTGTTGATTATATTATAAAGTTGATGTTCAAGTGTGGTACTGAAATATGAAATTAAATCAATCATAATTATTGATCATTTTTGTCCTCTATGATCAGGGATTTTGTGTATACTTGCATGCATTGAGAGTGTGCTACATCTATATTAATTGGGTGTGTGGGTCAATATTTATGAATTCTGTCTACTTGATCAATTAAATGAATGTGTGAATTGATGAAATATGTGGATGCTCATATTTATCATATTTGATAATTGCCCCCAGATTCACATGAAATCTTGAAGTTGTTTGATTACATAAATTTGAATGTCAGTTATTTGACAAATTGATAAGGGGTGAAGTCATGCGTCACCAGAATTGGGGAGGGCAAACTTTCTTGGTTTTCTACGGGTTGGAACACCAATGCTCAATCTCTATGATCTTATGAGCATTTGAATTTATATGGCGGGGTATGATAGAGGTGTAGGATGTGGCTAATGCTCGGAGGCAAAGCTATCCTGAGTAGAGCTTACTGAGCAATGGAGAATGTTCTCCCATCATATTCTCAACCAGACAGACAATGAACTCTACATGCAGTAGATATGATTAGAGGATTGATTATTGTATTGACTAGTGGGTCCATATGACATGTTCCCTATTGTCTCATGAATTAGTTGAAATGATTTAATTTTAGTTTAAATGAAAATAGAATGCTACTTCTAATGAGATATTTGTGGTGGTTGAAAATTTTCCTGCTTGGATTATTGATGTTGAGATTCTGAATATATTTAGCATATATTCTGTTAAGATATTAAAGTTTGATATTCTTATGATTTGTTGTATAGTTTCCTTAGATAGATTGATTCTAATCCCAAAACTCTAGGGATAGAATCTGTTACAGTTGTATGTAAATACTGTACTCATTATTCATGAAATATAACAAATATATTCCCCATTCAGTTTCAAGTATTTAAATATGTGTGTTTGGATATTTACTTTGTTATAAACTTTTCATTTTTTTAGAACTCGATGCATTCTCTCCTCTATGTGTTGTGTGTATTTTGCTATTTACGATGTACTACAGTAGATTCTGATCATACAGTAGGTGGACAGGAGGCCCTAACTACCAGGCATATGCACTTATAATGAGGCATTAAGAGACAAACCTGGTCAACATGATATTGTTTTGTGATTTGTAGTAATAAATAGCATCACTAGGAAACCGTACATGATACTTGCAGATGATCTAAGGGCTATTCAACTCAAACTGCCAATATTGTTGAAAGATCTTAGTATAAAATTGAATTTTATGAGGCGGGGTAGAAGTGAGGATATCTGGAGTTAGAAAGCTCTTTGGTCTTGTAAAAAGTCAAGGTTACCTCATACTAAGTTCGTAGTAGTTTGAAATAGGTTAGTCTTACTGTGAACCTTCAATAGAATCCAGTTTATTCATAATTAACCTAACCATGGCTAGCAAATTTGAGAAGTTGGTTGGATTTTCTGTACATCAATCTGTTATAGCTAGACTCAAACAGGTCTTGAGCTGTAGGAACGCTTTTTGTATAAAACTGTTTTCATTTAAAATATAAACCATATTAGCGTGATTTCTTCAAAATTTCAGAATTGTTACTGAAATAAACTGTTCTCAGAAAGCCAAAGAAGTCGACTGTTCTTTCTCAGACACCAATATGAATCAGCTGATTTAGATGTGCATAACTTGACCTAGAAATTTCATTTCCAATGAAACCAGTTTGATTTGAAAGAAAATAAGCGGTAGTTTCATAACATTAAGTTTTAGAATTTTGTAACTAAAGGATTGATTCTTTGGAATTATGTAGTTATAGTAATATTATAAATAGAAAAATTAGTATCTTGTGTAATTATAGTAACTTCTTAGTTTGTATTAATAGTTCCTATTATAAATATATGTTCTGGTGTGTAGTCAAAACACACGGATTCATCCTATGTTTCTTGTTATCTTTTCTCATCATGTTATTAAGAGCCTAACAAGGAGGAGACCCTAATATGTCCTTTTTTGTGGCCTCATTGCTCATAGGTGTAATTTTTTTCAGAAACCGTATGTGTCTCCGGTTTTTGATTTTTTTCTAGCTGCCACTGTTCATTCCACCCGGTGAATATTCTGGCTGCACTGTTCACTCTGCCGATGACTTTTCCGGCCACACTGTTCACTCTGCCAACTACTTTCTGGCTGCATTGTTCACACCGCTGTCAACTTTCCAGCGTGCTTTTTTTGGCTGGCTTTCTCTCCTTCCCTAGTGCATCCAACCCTGTCTTCGGCTACCGCTTGTTTTGTCGGAGTCGCTGCAGGCTGCTGTCCTCCGATTTATCCTTTATTCTTTGATCCAGGTTACAAGTCCTTGAATTTTTTTTTTTTTTGGCATATCTTGCCCTGTTTGGTACTGTTCATGTTGTGCCATGGCCACCTCTATCCCTTCCTACATCAAAATTCAGCAACCACCAGCACATGTTCCTTCACCCACACATACAGTGACTTTCTTCAATGGTTTGAGGAGCGTCAGGCCTTTGGTCCCACTGCTTCTGTTGTGCAAATAGGTAATTCTTTTGTTGATGTCTCTCCCTCTTCCTCCCTTGGACCATGGGTCCTTGATTCTGCAGCTACTAATCACATCATTGGTAATAAATCCTTTTTTTCCATTATTTCTACATTTGATTATCTACCCTGTCACAGTGGCTTGGTCTCAAACACAATTTCAGGGTATTGGTACTGTCCACCCTTTTTCCTCCCTCTCTATTGAAAATGTTCTTTACGTTCCTGAATCCCCTTTTAACATTCCATTAGTCGTCTCACTTGTTCCCTTGATTGTATTATTTCTTTCACAAAAGGTTCTGTTTACCTGTAGGATCATGAGTCCTTGATTCTACAGCTACTAACCACATCACTGGTAATAAATCCCTTTTTTCCATTATTTCTACATCTGATTATTTATCCTGTCACAATGGCTTGGTCTCAAACACAATTTCAGGGTATTGGTACTGTCCACCCTTTTCGCTCCCTCTCTATTGATAATGTTCTTTATGTTCCTGGATCCCCTTTTAACATTGCATTAGTCGTCTCACTCGTTCCCTTCCCTTGATTGTATTATCTCTTTCACAAAAGATTCTGTTTAACTATAGGATCAGAGTTTAGGGAGGATGATTGGCACCAGATGTGAGTTTCATTGTCTCTATCATTTGAATGCTTCTACTCATGCTGGTTTGGTAATTGATTCACCTCTTCTTATTCATGCTCAGTTAGGACATCTTAGTTTAACCAAGTTACAACATTTAGTACCAAGTCTTTCCAAGTTATCTACTTTGTCCTGTGAGTCAATACAATTAGAAAAACATACTCGTCGTTCTTTTACTAGTTGTGTCCATCATTGTTCTTACTTCTCCCTTTTCTGTAGTTCGCACTGACGTGTGAAGTTCAAGTCGTACTATAATTATTTTAGGTTCAAAATATTTTATTACTTTTATTGATGATTATTCTAAATGTACTTGGTTATTTTTAATGAAAAATCGTTCTGAGTTATTTTCTATTTTTAAAACTTTCTTTTTGAAATTAAAACTTAATTTGGGGTTCCAATTTGTACTTTACAAAGTGATAATGCTCGTGAGTACTTATCTAATAAATTTCAAAATTTTATGTCTTCTAATGGTATCGTTCATCAGACCGCTTGTGCCTATACTCATCGTTTTTGGAGTGATGCTATTCTTACTGCTTATTAATAGAATGCCATCTTCAGGTTTTCAAAACCAAGTCCCTCACTTTATCTTATACTCTCACTAGTCCCTTCACCTTTTACCCTCTTGTGTCTTTGGGTCCACTTGCTTTGTTCATGACCTTAGTCTGGGACTTGATAAACTCTAATCACGCTCTCACAAATGTGTTTTTCTAGGTTACACTAGGTCTCAGAAAGGTTATAAGTATTACTCTCCAGCTCTTCGACGCCACTTGGTTTCGGCTGATGTCACCTTCTTTGAATCTATTTTTTTCTTTACACCCAATCCTCCTGCTTCAGTCTCTGAGTCTCCTCCTTCCCCTCTAGCTTTCGTGCCTTTCCATTATGTTCCACCACAACCATCTCATGCTTCTGCCACACCACCTCCTTTGCACCCTTTGCAGGTATATCACTGTCGTCAGCCCCTCTATGTACCACCGTGCCACTCAACATCTCTCCTTCGGGCTTGCCTTCTGAGATTGAACTTCCCATTGCTCTTTGTAAAGGTATAAGCTCTACTCGTAATCCCTGTCCTGATTATGTTTCTTTGAATTATCATTGATTGTCCTATTCCCATTATACTTGTTTGTCTTGTCCTCTATTTCTATTCCTCAGTCCACAAGTGATGCTCTCTCACATCCCAGTTGCAAACAAGCGATGATTGATGAAATGTGTGTTTTTCAGAATAGTGGTACTTGGGACCTTATTCCTCTTCCTCCTAGGAAGTCTCTTGTTGGTTGTAGGTGGATCTATACAGTCAAAGTTGGTCTTGATGGTAAGATTGATCGCCTTAGGGCTCGTTTGGTGGCCAAAGGTTATATATAGATATTTGGTTTGGACTACAGTGATATTTTATCCCCAGTAGTCAAAATGACATCTGTCTGGCTAGTCATATCAATGGTTGCTATTTGTCACTGGCCTCTTTTTTAGCTTGATATAAAAAATGCTTTCCTTCATGGTTGTCTTGAAGAAGAAGTCTATATGAAGCAACCTCTTAGAGTCTTCAAGATTTGTTTGTCATCTCCCAAAATCCCTTTATGGTCTCAAACAATCTCCAAGGGCATGGTTTGTTAGATTCAGCATGGTGGTTCAACAATCTGGCATGACTCGAAGTGAAGTAGATCACTCCATTTTTTATCGTCATTCAACCTCAGGTTGTATTTACTTAATTGTGTATGTACATGACATTGTCATTATAGGAAGTGGTCATCATGGCATTGAATAGATAAAGCAACAACTTTGTCAGCACTTTCAAACAAAAGATCTTGGTAGACTTTGATACCTTTTGGGGATTAAGGTGGCACAATCCAAGAATGGTGTTATGATTTCTCAAAGTAAGTATGCAATGAATATCCTAGAGGAAAGAAGATTGATGGGGGCAAAAACTGATGATACTCCTATGGATCATAATAAGAAACTTCTGCCAAATCAGGGGGAGTCACTTTTAGATCCAGAAAGATATAGGAGACTTGTTGGAAAATTAAACTATCTGACAATTACTCGCCCAAATATCTTTTTTGCAATCAGTGGGGCGACTCAGTTTCTTAACTGTCCTTGTGATGGATATTAGGATGCAGTAATCCGCATTTTGAAATATATTAAAGGAGCTCTAGGAAAAAGTCTTTTATATGAACACAAAGGACATACTTAGGTTGTGGGATATTTAGATGTAGATTGGGTAGGATCACCTAGTAATAGGAGGTCTACATTTGGCTATAGCATCCATATTGGTGGAAATCTAATTTCCTAGAAAAGCAAGAAGCAAAGTATAGTTACAAGATCTAGTGCAGAAGCAGTGTATTGAGCCATGATTTTAGCTACTTGTGAACTTAAATGACTTAACAACTATTCAGAATTGAGATTTGGAGAAGTTAGAAAGATGACACTTATTTGCTATAATCAGGCAGCCTTACATATTGCGTCAAGTCCAATTTTCCATGAGAGGACTAAACACATTGAGATAGACTGTCACTTCATTAGAGAGAAGATTTTATCTAGAGACATCACTACTAGCTTTGTAAATTCTCATCATAATTGACAGATATCTATACCAAGTCTTTAAGAGGTCCTCGAATTAATTATATATGCAACAAACATGGTGCATATAATTTATATGCTCGTGCATGAGGAGTGTTGAAATTATGTAATTATAGTAATATTATAAATAAAAAAATTAGTATCTTTGTAATTACAGTAACTTCTTATTTTGTATCAATAGTTTCTGTTATAAATATATGTTCCTGTTTGTAGTCAAAACACACAGATTCATCCTATATTTCTTGTTCTCCTTTCTCAACAATGGCATTCCCACATACATAATTTCTCCCACAGGGCCTCACTATTCCAGCACACATCACATTGCACATCAATTTCTATCAAACACACAATTTCTACTTCCTATCTCAGTCACATTGCATTAATCAATAAAACACACAAGAATTATAATACATTGAGATAGGGTAGAGTCTTCCCTTATCTCGAATTGAAGATCCACATGCTAAATCCACAAAGAAGTGTTCCCCATTCACGGATTTCATCCTAAACACATGGAGAAACTCCATGAGAACCCAGGGAAACCACGAGAATAGAGAAAGGGATGAAAAACCGAAACCCTAATCATTAAAACTCACCTCCAAGTATTCCCCACACGGATTCAACCTTTAATCAAGCTCCTGAACGGCTTTGGAGGCAATGTAATTGGTAGAAAAGGGTTTGGGAATGAAAGGATAGAAGAGATTTCGAAGGGAGAGGGAGAAATAACTCTCCCCGAATCCTAACCTCCTTTAAATTCCTTTTCTGATCGCGACACTCTTGCTACAGCGAGATATTCTCACTGCAGCGAGGTCCCCTCGCTGCAGTGATACGCCCTCACACTGCAGTGACAAGAACAGACGAAACTGCACACTGGTTTCTGCAGAATCTCGCTACAGCGAGACCCTCTCGCCATAGCGAGATTGCACCCAAACTGTCGCTCTTTCGTTACAGCGAGAAAGTGACAGTTTCAGTGCTTCTTTCCAGGGCCCTCTCACTACAGCGAGAATCCTCTCGCTGCAGCGAGAACAGCCCAGTATTTCTCTCAGCACTTAGGTACTTAGCCCATTTCAGTCCTATCCAATCATGCATACACATATTCATATACTTAATACACATAAACATCATTATCAAGTAAATCAACACACGTATATATATATATCTATATATATATATATATAGATTTATATAAATAACACTAATTAATATTACTGAAATTCGGGGCGTTACAATTCTCAGTCAAAACTTTTATCTTTTTTGACTATTTCTCTATTCCCGACTATGGCCTGAAAGCTAATACTTCTAAAAATTGGAGCCCAGCATAATGATAACATCGATGGAACCAGTATTACATTTCTGTGTATCATTGATGTGATATATGTCCAGATTGATTCCATTTATCTGTCATTATGCGGGGCATTAAATTAACTTCAATATATAGTATGTTCTATGTTTTATCCCAAATATTTAAGGGGTAAAGTTAAAAAAAACACTTAAGGAGTTCAGATGTTACTATTTTCTTTCTCTGAAATGCTGTAAGAATTTTATTTTCTTCCTGTTTAGAGAGAAAAGAAAAGCTACAGCCTACATGCTCTGTGGCTTTTATACAGATTGCCTATGGATTTAGTAACTTTGGTACAAGGACTATTTTAGCTGTTTATCACATTGAAAGGAAAAGGAGTGCAGAATAGGATTGGTTGTCTGAGGTTTCAGTTTTTATCCATTAAAATGTGGTTGACCGGAGAGAAACTATGAAGAAAGAAATTGTATGTATGTATGTACGTATTTGTTTAGCCTCGCCTTTTTATTGAACAGTCAATTAGTTAATCATGAACCCTTGCTATTGCTTTCACTTAGTCGCTTGTATTTATGTGTATCTTAAAAAAATTGGGCATAGTCATGTATTCAACTTATTTACATCTGTAATAAGCCGTAGCATCTGTATAGTACATTTACTAAGATAGGTTAACCACACTATTTCGTGATTAACTGTGATTTGCTGGCTCAGTCTAGCTTAACAACATCATTGTATCTTAATTTTTTCCAACCCTGTTAAACTTCATTCCAAATTTTCCCTTTGCTGTTATTTAATTTCATTTTTCAGGATTTTTCCCCCTAATACTTCACTTGTTTATATCTAAAGTGATCCATGATATGTAGGTGGGCTGACAGAGAATGACTTCATACTTGCTGCTAAGATCAATGGGCTTAATTTGCATGAGTTACTAAGACGGAAAGCTTCTGACTGAATTATCAAAGAGGCAGTTGAAGAGATCCAAGTTGCTAGTAATGTTTTTCTTCTTTTTTATAGCAAGTGCTGGCAAGATTTGTGGTACATTTATGTTGTTTTTTCACCAAGGTAAGGATGGAAAAAGTTTCTTGTGTTTATATTTTCACCTTTACGTAAGTGGAAGACATTTATGTGTAGTATCCCACTGCTCGCCAGTTTTAGCACCAGCAAATTGATAGAGAACCAAGGATTTGTTTGGGTAATTCTGCTATGCACCTTAATGATTGATTTATCCATGTTCCATTGCATTTTAGTCCTTCAAATATGTTTTTTTAGCCTCTTGCTTTTGATTTTCGTATTTTTAGTACATTATTCACCCTTCTTTCCTTCCTCTTATCTATCTATCTATCTGACACCGCAGTGTCTAATACAACATCCCTTTCCTCTAAACAAAGAAGATAAAACCCTCCACCAACTCCTCATAATCTTTCTCAGCAGTAGCTGCTACTTCTAATATCATCTTCGATTTGAAGGATGGTATGTCTCAACCACATCCAGGTTGGACTGGAAACTGGTGTATCTCCTTTCAATGTCATAATTGGAGAAACAAATGGTACCCAGTGTGATGAACTTAATGCAAAGGATCATTCGATTGTTAATTTACTTCACATAATCATTAATTTTATCACAAAATTTTTGTTTAAATCCTTAGAATAAATAACAAAATTGGTTGAAGTTGCATGCCCATGCCAATATGTGGCCCCGTGGAGCCATATTATTGCCAGCATCTTTATCCCAGCCGAAATCTGTAAAGGAAAGATGTTACCTCTGCTAGTGGGGGTTATGGTAACATCACCAAGCACATATTCCCTTCACAACTGACCAATAAAATATATTAAAATTAAAATACATCTTAATGGGATGCTGCCATAATTGTTTTTATGCATTATTTGATTAATCTTTAGATCTCTTTAACTTTTTCAAAACTATATATACAGTTAGTGTGCACATTTTTTTCTATACCATCTTAAGAGAGAAGAAATATTATTTTCTACACCATCTTAAGAGAAGAAATTATGGCAAACTCTCAAGTTCAGAAGGTGGAAACTAAAGTGCATATCAAGGCTTCTGCTGAGAAGTTCTATGATGTTATGTGCAACAGAACACACCACATTGCCAAAATTTGTCCTGAAAAAGTACAGGCTGTTAAAATCCATAAAGGTGAATGGGGTGACGAAGGATCTATCGTCTCCTGGAATTATTTACTTGGTATGGCAACTTCGACTTCATTATTTTATCAACAAACAGCTAGGTTCCGCTTGCATGTATTGCACTTTTGCAAATTATTTTACATCCATGATACATATACTTTTATCTTACATTAAACATATTTAATATTTTTAAACCTTTTGCAAAATACTAAAAAAAGAAGAAAGATTATGTTCTTATATTAAAATAAGCTAAATCAAACTTATTAAACCAAATGGTACTCTTTTACACTGTTTAATTCAAAATAAAAAATCTCAATAAGCAAATTAGTTTATTGTATTAACTTACAGCCCTCTTAATTCAAATTATTGTGTTAGAAGATACCCAAAAAAATTTTTACTACTATATATTAGTTATGTCTATTGCAGTTCATAAATGTTCATTCTATCTTGACTTTAAAGTGATGATTATTACTAAGATCAAATTTTTGTTTTTATTTTTGGTTTTGGACAACAATAGATGGGAAAGCATGGGTTGCTAAGGAGGTGGTTGAAGGCATAGACAGAGAGAATAATAAAATGACCTTCAAGGTTATAGAGGGAGACATATTTGGATACTACAAGAGCTTCAAGTTTATAAATCAAGCTACTCCAAAGATAAAAGGCAGTGAAGTGCATTGGGTTATGGAATATGAGAAACAAAATCACGACATTCCCGATCCTCACACCTTGTTACAATTTGCAGTTGAGGTGAGCAAAGACATTGATGCTTACCTTACCCAAGACCAAAAATAAATCAACATCAATATAAAGCTCATTTTGGGGCTATATTATGTGTACTGTGTGACTTAATGTTAAACAATAATAAATTGCATCAGCCTCTACTAAGCGTGAGCTGGGCAAGGAAAAATAAGTTATGGTGCTGTATTATGCTGTACCGTGTGACTTAATGCTCATCAAAGTCGTTTCCTGTTTTAGTCTCAATTTTATTTATCAGTTTTACTCTCTTTTTCTCTTTATCATTTTTCGTTGTGGTTAGTAATTTTAAATTACAACATCGATCGATTCAAGATAATTTATAAATATCAAAATAGACACTAAATTAAATTAATCCTTTCCATGATACGTGTGTATGCGTGTTTAAATCTATTGCTTTCATTTTGGTTTTCAATCATGTAGTTTTTATCCTTACAGCTTAAAAAATGTTAATATCGATCCCCATAACCAGTGAATACCAAAATGTGTGAACTTTTTAAATAATGACAATACTAAAAAAATATAATTAACATATTACTAAATTAACATTAATAAATTGAGCAAAAACAAACAAAATAATATTTATTTTATCAATTTCATACATTTCATCACAATATAAATATTTGATAAACATCTTTTAAAATTTTATAAAGCAAATATCAAAGTATTCAAGGACAAACTTCATAATTTATGAATCGTGTTAAATGCTTGTATGAAAATTGTAAATTAATAAAATTGAATTATGAACAAAATAAAATTGAGTAAAAATAAATTAAAAAATATCAATACACAGAATACTAAATGCGTGTAACTCTGTCTATCACAGTATCTAAAGATTTAAATATGCGTTTGGACAATCACTCAATTCAATTATTAATTCAATTGAATAATCTAATTGAACAGAGTTACGAATTAAATCAAATAATCATTTAACCTAATCTGCATTAATTATCAAATCAGAGCATCGAGTCTTAATTTGAATTCTAACAATAGAAAAGTTAATCATGATCGCAATATATAATTCTGAGATTAGAGAGAAAAAGAGAACAAACTCGGAGCAATTTCGCACAGAACTCAAGTTGAAATTACAACGTTTAGATTCTGCGGATTGAACGAGAGGTTTAGTCTTCTATCGAAGCACTTAACCCACATAAGAATGAGAAAAGAACGAGATAGTTGGAGAGAAAGTAAAAAATAAGGATTCTTATTTCGGCCAAGTCTCAAAATTTCAAAGTGTTTAATCACTCCCTTCCTAAATCAAAACCTTATTAGCCTATTTATAAGCTCTGATCAAGGTAAACTAAATGGCAAAATTTGGGTCTTAATTATAACTACAAGCCCAAATACAATTATCTAATAACAAAGGATCCAAATGCAATTTGGCAATAATATTCAACAAATCTGCCTCAACTTTAAAAAAAAATAAAAAAAAATTGAAATCAACTCCAAATCTAGCGATCCATATATGCATTTTAAAGCCCTAGATGTGTTGCAACTGGAATGAGCCAAAAATGATATCTATAAAAAAAAGCTATGGCCGAAAGAGTAGTCAGAAGTTAGAATTACCGAAAAATATAAAATTAAAACATTTATTTGTAATAGGCCCAATTTATTTCAATAAGTAGAAAATAGTAAAAACTCTAAAAGCAAAGCATATTAAAAGTGTTTATAAATTAAAATAAAATTATAAATATAAACCTAAAATATGTCACATCAATCTAATTCATATTAGCCTAATTATATTAGAATTAGACATCATATGCAAAATTAAAGGGAGAAACACACTTAGCAAAATTGACAAAAAAAATAGGATAATTTAAGGAAGAATTGGACAATGCAAGTAAGGTATGACTAAAAATTTTAGTAGAGATTAATTGTTTAAACCAATCCAAGTGATTCTAAACTATCTAAATTAAGGATTACAAGAATTAAAATAAGTTGGGGAAGAAACAAAAATGGGAAACTAAATACCAGTTGCAAAATTGGTTAAAATAATAAAAAAGATATACCTAAAATAGGCTTAGAATGTTGGCTCATTTTGAGCAAGATGATCATGAAAACATCTAAAATTTTAATGGCAATTTGTTAGACCAAATAGAGTCATTGTCATTTAAGAACCAAGTCCAAAACTTGAGTATAAAATTCAAATCAAATTCTACAAAAACAATGCCTACATGGAAAAGGCTAGAATTTTGGGTAAAAATTTACAAAATTCTCCATTGTATCTAATCCAACTCATTTGTATTGTTTGTAGTCTAAAAGTGAAGTCAAATTGGCAATAATTGAGCAAGAAATTAGCTAATTGGGATAAGTCATTGGGAGAGGAAGCTTGGTCTACCAAAACTCTATGAAAAAGACACTTGAGTCACAAGATTCTTATCCAATTAGTCTAACTAAATTGTAACTAAAATCTACTCAAATTGACCAATAATTGATGATAATTAGAGAAAGAAAATTAGACTTGATTAGCAAGAGAATTAAAACCAACAAGCAAACACAGAGACAAACCAAATGACATCATGAAGGCCAAATTTTTCCACTTTGTGCAAACTTTTGGAGGCCACTTTACACATGGAAGGAGGCTAAATGGGGCCAATTTCATGAGAAAAAATGTTGGAGTAATAACCCACTATATAGCCATAAAAACCTCATCACACAAGAAGCTAAGAAAAAGTTTGAAAAATTTCATGCAAGTTGAAAGCCAAGTTCACATAAAAGTCAAGGAGCAACTTTGAACACTTTGCTAAAATTTTCTTATTTTAGCAAATTCAAATCCTTTCAACCATTTGACAATAACAAACACATACAAAAGAAATCCCACACTATCAACCATGACCTATTCCGTAACCAATACTTGAAAATTTCAAAGAAAAACTAGACAAAAGACTAATACCCCACCAAACAATTAAGTAGAAAAACTCCAATTCCTTAGTAGCTCTTTTTCAACGTTAGATAGCTGACTTCAAGGAGTAAGGAGGAAACTCAAAACATACCACATAGTAATAAGAAAGAGAGAGAAGGCAACCACCCACTTTCAACTTCACAAAAATCAAGTAAAGGAGGAAAGTGTGGTTCATAAATTAAGGGCTACTTTTGCTAAATGATTTGAACTCAAGGGTAACCCTTATTCTTTTTTATTTGATGAAAATTTTATGGTCCTAGTTGATATATGATATTAAAATTGGTTGGACAAAAAAATCTAAGAAAATCCCTAAAAACAATAAAAATAGAAAATTCTACAGAAAAACCCTAACAAACTGTAAAGGGGTGTTTGGGGAAAATCTTATTGATGAATTTGCTTATCATGTGCTATGTTCATGATATTATGATGAACATATGTGATTCTATGCTTTGAAATTGAAATCATTTTTAGAAATTTTCTACGAATTTGAGTTTTTTTTTTTTTTGTCTTAGATTATGTTGTTTTTTGCAAATATCATTTTAAATGTATGAACTAAATTTTTAACCTATGTTTGATTTTTGTATGACTTGATTATAGTATTATTGAAATAAAATTCGTGATTTCCTCTTTGTTTGGGTATAAGTCAAAATTTTCACAAATTTTAAAGATAATTGGCAGTTTTAATTAGTATAGAATTGTTTTACATTATTTTTTATTTTAAAAAATTCCTAAAATCATGAAAATTATTCTCATAGGTCAAATACTTGATTGTGTTATTATGGAGTTTTCAGCAATATTTTGAATTTAAATGTTAACTTAAATGTATTTTCAAAATATTTGGTGGAAAATAACCCAAAAATAGAAAGTAACTAAGAAAAAAACTCAAAGCTGACTTGGAAGGGCAATAAAGAGGCTTAAACTAGACCAAGAAAAGAGGAAGAAGAGGAGATCAACACACCTGTGCAACCTCACCCAAAAAGGCAAAGACAAAATCAAGTAAGGGAGGGGAGTATAGTTCATAAATTGGGGGAATACTTTTGCTAATTAATTTTGAGTCAAGGGGAACCCTTAAGCCTTTATATTGAATGAAAATTTCATGGGTCTATTTACTATATGAAAACAAAATTTACTTGCACAAGAAAATCCAAGAAAATTGTTAAGAATAGCGAAATAGAAAAATCTTAACCAACTATAAGTGGGTATTTTGAGGGAATTTTATTGATAACTTTGCTTGTTATGTGTTATTGTTATGATATTATGCTGATTATATGTAAATCCATGCCTTGAAATTGATTGAGGCTTTTGTTAAAGTTTTCTATAAATAATCAGGAGTTTTCTATTAGAAATTATCTACTATTTCTGTAAATATTCTTTTGATGCATGATATGAGTTCTAAGTTTTTGTTTGACTTTTATATGGCATAAACACTCTTAACTTAGTAAAAATTTCGTGATTATGCTTTGGTAGAACATAAAAAGGAATTTTTTTTTGTGTTGATTTTTATTTTTAAAATTTTTTAAAAATCATAAAAATTTTCCTAAGATATTGTCTTATATTATTATAATATTCTTGATATTTTAGATTTATTTTGACTTGAAATAATAATTTAAATGTATTTTTAAAGATTTTGAATGAAAGGGTAAAAGGAAAATGATTTAAAAATAAAAAAATTACTAAGAAATAAATTCTGGACTCTTGGACAGTTTTTGAAACCTCTGAAGTATAAGAGTCATATAAATTTAACCAAGATATGAAATTAAATTTGAAGGATTGAACTTTTAAATGAGAAAATACTATGATTGGACCATAAATAGATTTCAAAAAGTTTAAAATAATTAATCATATGAGTAGTAGGACCAAAGGAATGTTTTTGACCATATTGAGACTTGGACAATGACTTAGAGGCAAGGAAAAAACATGCTGGACAACCTGACTTCTTCAAGTTTTGGAAAAAGGACCTAATTGCAATTAGCATAAAGAAAAAGGACTGAATCTCAAATAATGTAAAATATAAGACAAACTTAGAATTTTTTTTGTATTTTATTCATGTATACAGTTAAATTTTGAAAATTTTCCACTGGTTTTACTTTATTTTGATTTAAATTGAATTAGTTATGATTTTTCTAATTTCTACTACATGAAAACAATAT